TAGATAACTTCAAATGTCAATGATAACACAAACTATATCTTTCTTCTTTCAGTAGTACTGACAGATCTCTAATGCTTGGGCACAAGAAGATGTACGGATGTCAAATAGTCTTCAACATTTTTTATAAGATAATTAATATCACAATCTCTGGCCTTACTATAGTATATTTTGAGTATATAGATACATGATATTGAACTGCTCAGGGACTAATTGTGTAAAGATAAATGGAGGTAGTCAACAGGCATCCAGGGTAAAGCAAACGTGGAGTTCAAATTATTAATTTGAATGGCATGTGTGTTACAGTAGATGAAGGCAATGATGAAATATATATTTGTTGAATTCTTGCCATGTATGATATGCATTATCTGCTTAATCCTTACAGTGTTGCAAGCTAAATATTGAAAATGAGGATTAAAAGTTTTGATAGTTAAATAACAAGTCAGTGTCCACAGATAAGGAGATGGTGGAGCTGATATTGAAAGTCAAATATTCTGCCAGCAAGTCTCAGTGGTTGAACCACTACCAAAAGCTGGTTGCCATCAAGTTGACTCTGACTCGTGGTAATCCCAAGTGTGCCAGAGCGAAGTGTACTCCACAGAGGTTTCAATGGCTGATTTTCTTCCAAGACACATGTCTTGTTGTTGTTATGTGCCATTGGGTCTGCCCCAACTCATAGTGTCCCCTCCTTGGGTATCCAAGGCAGTATCACTACGGAAGTAGATTGCCCCATCTTCCTTCCAAGGAGTAGCTGGTGGGTTTGAACTGCCAGCCTTCTGGTTATCAGTCAAGTGCCTTAGGCACTATGCTACCAGAGCTCCCATAAGACACATTTAGGTGGACCCAAACCTCTGACCTCTGGGTCAGCAGCAATCACATTAACTGTTTGCACCACCCAAGGCCTCCCTGAACCACTCCACTGGTCTATTCTTATGGTGACTAAGTTAGCATCCACTTACTGATTCACTGTTGTTGTTGTTAAGTGCCATCGAGTCATTTCCAACTCATAGCAACCCCATGCACAGCAGAATGAAACACTGCCCAATCCCGCGCCAGCCCCACAATTCCTGCTATACTTGAGCCCATCATTGCAGCCACCATGTCAATCCATCTCCTTCAAGGCCTCCCCCTCTTTTGTTGACCCTCCACCCTACCAAGCATGACATCCTTCTCCAGGGAATGGTCTCTTCTTACACCATGACCAAAATAGGTGAGATGAAGTCTGGCCATTCTTGCTTCCAAGGAGCATTCTGGCTGCACTTCCTCCAGGACAGATCTATTAGTTCTTTTAGCAGTCCATGGTACTTTCAGCATTCTTTGCCAGCACCATAACTCAAAAGCATCAACTCTTCTTCGGTCTTCCTTATTCATTGTCCAGCTCTCACATGCATACGAGGCGATTGGAAATATCATGGCTTGTGTCAGGCACAACTTGGTCCTCAAGGAGATATCCTTGCTCCTCAGCACTTGAAACAGTTCCTTCGCAGTTGACTTTCCCAATGGTACACGTCGTCTAATGTCCTGACTGCTGCTTCCATTGGCATCGATTGTAGAACCAAGCAACGTGAATTCCTTGACAACCTCAATCTTCTCTCCATTTATTGTGATGCTGCTCATTGGTCCAGTTGTGAGGATTTTTGTTTTCTTTATATTGAGATGTAATCCATACTGCAGACTGTATTCTGCAACCTTCATCAGTAGGTGCCTTAAGTCATCCTCACTTTCAGCAAGCAAAGTTGTATCATCTGCATATCTCAGGTCGTTAATGATTCTTCCTCCAATCCTGATACCACGTTTTTCATTACTATGTACTTAAACACTGTTCTAATCAGTGCTTGTGATTACCTCCCCTAAACAATTCTCTCATTTGAGTTGTTTTGGTTTTACAACTAAAAAGGTAAGGAAATTAAACAGAAAGTTTACTTACATTGTGCCCAAGATCACAGTTTATAATATCAAGTTGTTCTTTTTCCTGAAATATACACTAGAAAGGAGCTTCATTAAAGATACAACAGCTACCATTTAATGGAAAAGTACCATTATGATTGCACCTTGACAGCATTATATTTAATTTTTGTAATGGACTTGGAAGATTGTTGTTTTTGTTACCTAACACTAACCCTAACCCTAACCTAACCCAACCCAACTCCTAACCATGGAGTTGGTTCTGACAATTAGTGACCCTATGTATAACAGAATGAAACACTGGCAGGTCCTTCATCATCTTCACAATTTTTACTATGATAAGCCCATTGTTGGAGTATCCTTAAAGAATTCACTGTGTGAAACCATCTCATAAGGAGTTTTCCTCTTTTACACTCACCCTCTATCAGACATGATGTCTTTCTCCAGGGACTGGTCTCTTCTTATAACATGGCTAAACTACATAAGAAGTCTTGCCACCCTAGCTTCTAAGAACCATTCTGATTGTACTTCTTCAAAGACAGATTTGTTTGTTGTTCTGGTAATTCATGACATATTCAATATTCTTTGCAACACCATAATTCAAAGGCATGAGTTCTTCTTCTGTCTTCCTTACTTATTGTCCAGATTTCACATGCATATGAGAGAACTAAAAATACCATGATTTGTGTCAGGCACACCTTAGTCCTTGAAGTGACATCTCTGTATATGCCACTTTAAAGAGGTCTTTTGCAGAAGATTAGCCCAATGCAATATATCATTTGATTTTTTGACTGCCACTTCCATGGGCATTGTTTGTGGATCCAAGTAAAATGAAATCTTGACATCTTCAATCGTTTTTCTCTCTATAAATAAGCATGATGTTTCTTATTGATCCAGTTGTGAGAATTTCATTGTAGTTGTTGAGGTGCAGTCTTTGACGTTCATCAGTAACTGCTTCAAATCCTCTTTACTTTCAACAGACAAGTTTGTGTCATTTGCATATCATAATTTTTTTGGTGAGTTTTCTCCAATCCTGATGCAGTGTTCTTCATTTGTTGCAGCTTCTTGTATTATTTGTTCAGTATACAGATTGAGTAAGTGTGATGAAAAGATACAACCTCTACATACCATTCCTGTACAGTTTAGATGGGTTTATTTCAATTCTAAAATGGCAGTGGGCATTTCTTCGTTTTTTTTTTTTTTTTTTCTGAGCATACATTTTAATATTCCAATTTTAAACATTTCACAAATACTTTTCTTCCTCATACAGAATGTGTCAGCCATGGTTCCATAAAGAAAAAATAAATTATGAAAGCATTATGAAGAGAACACAATATGGGAAATTTGTAAAAGAGTTACCACATGTATGGCAAAGCTAAAATGATCAATGTAGTAATACAGATTTAGGAACTGCAAAAAGAAGCTACCACCAAAATGGCTAACAAGCTTAAGGGAAATTAAATTATTAGGGTGTCATAGGACATGTCTACGAGAAGAACCTAACAAGAAAACAAGATGAAAAATCAAAATACAGTTATTGTAATCTCCCTCTCTAGCCCAGAATCACAAATTAAAGAATAAACAAACAAACAAAAGAACTCACTGCCATTGAGTCAATTCAACTCATAGCGACCCCTTTTGGGTTCTGAGGCAGTGTCTCTATGGGAGTAGATTGCCCAATCTTCTTTCAGAGGAGTGGCTGGTGGGTTTGAACAGCCAGCCTTCTGGTTAGCAGTCAGGTGCCTTAGGCACTATCCCACCAAAGCTCCCAATTAAAAAATGGAAGAATGAATTGAAAGAAGAAAGACAATAGCTTAAAAAGTACACTTGGCAGCTTTATAGTGTGCAGGCAGGAGCAGTGATGATTCAGTGGTAGAATCCTCTTGTTCCATGTGGTTAACTATTGTACAATTCTGGTCAATACATATTGTTGCTGTTGATAACAATATGTGTCATGTGTCATCGAGTCAGACCCGACTCATAGAGACCCCTCCTTGGGTTTCCAAAGCAGCATCACTACAGAAGTAGATTTCCCCATCTTCCTTCCAAGGAGTGGCTGGTGGGTTTGAACCATAGCCTTCTGGTTAGCAGTCAAGTGCCTTAGGAACTATGCCACAACAAGTCTGTCACTGAGGCTTATATGTTGCTGTGAAAAAGTGTCAATGGAGCTTGAAGACTAAAATGTGCTTGGAAGAAAGATCTACTGATCTACTGCCAAAAACACAGCCAATGAAAACTTATGGATCAAAATTATCTCATCCATAGCAATAATGGGGATGATGCAGGACTAGGCAACAGTTTAGGGGATTTTCTATGTGTTCGCCATGATAGGGGAATGGGGGATAACTACAGCGACGTTAACAACAACAAAGTGTGGAAAGATACTACAAGAGAAAAAATAACGTTATCAGGAATTTTAGGGAAAAAATATGTGTCTGTTCTTAGGATAAGTTCTTTCCTATCCTCCCCCTATGAGCTTTATGATCTTCAGCTTGTGCTCATGAAAAGTAAAAGACACACACATTTTTGAAGGAAAAGGTCAGTAGTTCTCACTTTGTACATTAAAACCACCTGTGCTGCCTTAAAAATGTTATGTTCAAGCCACATGCTGGTCCAAATTAAACAGAATCTGTGCTGGTGACACCAAGTTTTCAATATTTTTTAAACTTCACAGACAATTTCAGTTTGAGGTAGGGGTTGGAGAGCAGTGCTATTCATTCACATTCATAAACTGCCTATAGCATTCTAACAGACATAAAAATAATCTTGCCAATAGATATGAATTCTCATAAAAAATGAGGAATCTAAGTCTACATTAAAAAACAAAAAAAGTGTGTATTTTATCAGGAAGCCTGAGTCACAGATGAGAAACTAAGAAGGCTCCATAGATAGGTATCATGTGATTTTATGAGGCAGTTTGATATTACCCAGAATTTGTCCACAATTACAATCAAGACATGAAAAAGAGAATGAAAACTTGAGTTAGAAAATTATGAGAGCTACAAAATTATGTAGCCAAGAGGCAAAATTTCTGAGTATAGATGTTTGGTTTTGGTGGGTTTTCAGTGCACACTCTCAAAAGATGCATAAGGTTGACATCAGTTTGTCCTCCTGAGGAGCTTCCTTAGGGCTGTCTTGATGTCCTTGTTTCTCAGGCTGTAGATGAATGGGTTCAGCATGGGGGTGACCACAGTGTACATCACTGTGGCCACCGCAAGTTTCCTGGAGGAAGATATGACAGCTGAACTGAGATACACTCCAATAACTGTTCCATAAAATAAGCAAACAACTGACAGGTGAGAACCACAGGTGGAAAATGCTTTATACTTCCCACCTGTTGATGGGATTTTCAGAATGGTGGAAACAATTCTGATGTAGGTAAAGAGAATCCCTAAAACTGGAATTCCAGCAAAGATGGCACCAATACAATTCAGTAATATGCCACTGCTGAAGGTGTCAGAACAGGCAAGCTTGAGGAGTTGAGGAGGGTCACAGAAGAACTGAGGGATTTCCACACGATAGCAGAAGGTGAGTTGAGACATCATTAAAATGTGCAGCTGAGAGTGCAAAAGGCTGAGAAAAAACAACAGCAAAACCAGCAAGCCACATAGGCGGGGATTCATGATGACTGTGTAGTGTAGGGGGTGACAGATGGCCACAAACCTATCATAAGCCATCACAGTCAGGAAAAGACTGTCCAGACATCCAAAAATGGAATAAAAGAACACCTGTATCAAGCAGCCTGTGTAAGTGATGGATTTGCTCTGTGTCTGGATATTCACTAGCATCTTAGGAACTGTGGAGGAGGTAAAACCAATGTCAGCCAAAGACAGGTTGGAGAGGAAGAAGTACATGGGGGTGTGGAGGTGGGAGTCAGAGCCAACAGTCAAGATAAGGACTGTATTCCCAAGTACAGTGACCAGGTACATGGTCAGAAACAGGCCAAAAAGGAGCGGCTGAAGTTCCGGATCATCAGAGAAGCCCAAGAGGAGGAGTTCAAAGCCAGCTGTGAGATTCTGTGGCTCCATGAACCTGAGACAACTCTTGGAAAAACAAAAGAGGATCGTTAAGAGGAAACAAACAGGCCACAAGCACTGTGTCTGTATTTGGAATTCAGAAACTTCAAAGTAAAGTGTTCATACTTGTGGACTTAATACTTCAGTACTTTAAGCAATATTTCTGCCTTTATAAAATCTGTTACCTCAGAATTCTTTTCTCATAATGCATGTGCTATTCTATTTCTTTATACGCTTACATTATTTTATTTATTTTACTTTGTGTTGTAGTTTTTGTGAACCATTAAAATACAAGTTATTTTCCATTCAACATTTTGTTCTGCAACATTGATTGCAATCGCCTCAAAGTAATAAAACTCTCCCACTTTTCCTTGGTTTCCCTGCTTCCACTTGTCCTTCTTCCCTGCCATTCCTGCCTTCTGAGTGTTGTTTTTGGGAGAGTGCTGCCTTTCTGGTCTCTTGTGTTTGATTGTACTGAGGAGTACATTCCTTCCTGTTGTTACTCTTCTTTTTATATTGTCTATTCTTTTTTGAAATTTGATCCCCAAGGATCTATTTACCTACAGGATTGAAATGTGTCTAAGGGCCACAATCTCAGGAAATCTGTTGATGTCTATCAGATGATAAGTTTGATGTTTTTATGATTTTCAATTTTGTTCTACATTTTTTTCTTAATCTCTGTCCAGAAACTTCTATTTGGATCCTGATCAGAGTGGTTGGTAATGGTAGAGAGTAACATCTAGATCTTTCAGTCTCTGGGTAGTGGAGACTATAGTTTGCCTGGTCCATTAATCCTTTGGACTAATTGATTCCTTGTATATTTGATTTTTCCCACTCTTCTTTTCTCTGGATGAAGATAGACCAATAGTGAAATCTTAGAGGGCCACTCACAGGATTTCAAGATCTCAGTCACTATGCACCAAAGGAGGATGTATAACATTGTCCTTGTAGGCTATGCTATGCCAATTGACCTTAGTATCCTCAAAGACCATAGCCATAAATCCTTAAGCCAAGACATTCATTCTTTCATGGTGTTTGGCCTTACATACTCCCTTTAGACACAGAGGGCTGAGGAATGTTAGAATATGAAAGATACTTTAAGATAAGAACTAAATAAACAGTGTAAATTATCAGCCCCCAATGAAGAAAACCCAGTACTCATTTGTCAGTTTGCCACACTGTGGTGGTTTGCAGGTTGCTGTGAGGCTGGAGGTTATGCCACTTGTATTTCAAATACCAACAGGGGCACCAATGGTTGACAGGTTTCAGTGGTTCTTCCAGACTAAGACAGACTCAGAGGAAGGAAAAGGGCATCCACTTCTCAAAGAGTTGGACAGTGAAATCCTTGTGAATAACAGTGGAACAGTGTCTGATAGATTATTGGAAAACTTTATGAATAATCCTGATACATAGTCTGATATACTGATGGAAGATAGGTCCCTCGGGTCAGAAGGCACTTGGCATACAAGTGAGGAAGAGCTGCCTCCTCAAAATAGAGTGAGGTGGGTGGGTAAAGCTTTCAGGACCTCCATTTGCTGATGTGGCAAGACTCAAAATGGGAAGAAACAGCTACATATATCCATTAATAATCAGAACATGAATTGTACAAAGTATGACTCTAGTAAAATGGGAAATTGTCACAAATGAAATGAAACACATAACGATAAATGTTCTAGGCACTAGTGAGCTGAAATTGACTGGTTTTGGCCATTTTGAATCACACAATCATATGACCCACTTTGCCAGGAATGACAAATTGAAGACGAATAGTGTGCCATTCATCATCATAAAACATGTTTCAAGATCTTTTCTAAAGTACAATGCTGTCACTGATAAGATAATATGCATACACCTACAAGGGAGACCCATTAATACCACTATTATTCAAATTTATGCACCAACCACCAAATACAAAGATGAGGAAATTGAAGATTTTACCAAATTGAAGATTTTTTGGTCTGAAATTGACCAAACATGCAATCAAGATACATTGATTATTAGTGGTGACTGGAAGCAAAGAAGAATTAGTTGGAAATTATCGCCTTTGTGATGGAAATGACACTGGAGATTGCAAGATAGAATTTTGCAAGACCAACAACTTATTCACTACAAATATCTTTTTCTCAAGAACATAAAATTGCAGCTATAAATGTGGACCTTACCAGATGGAATACACAGTAATCAGATTGACTACCTCTGTGGAAAGAGGAGATGGAGAAGCTCAATACCTTCAGCCAAAACGACTCCAGGGGCTGACTGTGGAATTGACCATCAATTGCAGATATGCAATTTCAAGTTGAAGATGAAGACAGTTAAGTCCAAGAGAGCCAAAATATGGCCTTGAGTATATCTCACCTGAGTTTAGAGAATGGATTTGATACATTTAACACCAATGACCAAAAACAGGATGAACTGTAGTATAACATCAAGCACATCACATAAGAAGAAGGCAAAAGGTCATTAAAAAGGAAAGGAAAAAAAGACCAAAATGGATGTTTGAAGATAAACTGAAACTTGCTCTTGTACAGAGAGTAGCTAAAGCTAAAGCAAATGGAAGAAATGACAAGATAAAAGAGCCAAACAGAAGATTTCAAAGAGCAACTTGAGAAGACAAAGTCAATTATTACAATGTAATGTGCAAAGACCTGTAGTTAACAAGCTAAAATGGAAGAACACTTTCAGCATGTCTCAAGCTGCAAGAACTAAAGAAAAAATTCAAGCCTCAAGTTGCAATATTGAAAGATTCTATTGGCAAAATATTGAGTGGTGCATGAAACATCAAAAGAAGATGGAAGGAATGCACAGAATCACTGTACTGAAAAGAACTGGTAGGTGTTCATCCATTTCAGGAGATGGCATATAATCAAGAACTAATGATATTGAAGGAAAAAGTCAAAGCTGCACTGAAGGAATTAGCAAAAAACAAGGTTCCAGGAATTGACAAAATACCCATGGAGATGTTTCAGCAAATAGTGTCACATCGGAGGCAGTTACTCACCTATGTCAAGAAATTTGGAAAACAGCTATCTGGCCAGCTGACTAAAAGAAATCAGTATTTGCACTCATTCCAAAGAAAGGTGATCTACAAGAATGTGGAAATTATTGAAAAATATCATTAAAATCACACACAAGAAAATTTTGCTGAAGATATTTCAAAAATGGTTGCAGCAGTATGCTCACAAGGAACTTCCAGAAAGGCAAGCTGGATTCAGAAGAGGACGTGGAACAAGTGATATCATTGCTGATGTCAGATGGATCTCAGTTGAAAGCAAAGAATACCAGAAAGATGCTTACTTGTGTTTTATTGACTATGCAAAGGCATGAAACTCTGTGGACCATTACAAATTATGGATAACATTGAGAAGAAGGGGAATTCCAGAACACTTAATTGTGCTCATGAGGAATCTGTACATGGACCAGGAAGTTGTTGTTCAAAAAGAACAAGTAGATGTTGCATAGTTTAAAATCAGGAAGGGAATGTGTCAGGGTCTTATCTTTTCACCATACTTATACAGTTTGTATCATGAGCAAATTATCCAAGAAACTGGACAATATAAAGAAGCATATGACATCAGGATTGAAGGAAGACTTATTAACAACCTGTGATATGCAGATGACTCATCCTTGCTTGCTGTAAGTGAAGATGACTTGAAGCACTTACTTATGAAGATCAAAGACTACAGTCTTCAGTATGGATTACACCTCAACATAAGAAAAGTCCTCACAAGTGGACCAATAAGTGGCATGATGGTAAACAGACAAAAGACTGAAGTGGACAAAAATTTCATGTTACTTGGTTCTGCAATCAACACCAGTGAAAGTAGCAGTCAGGAAATCAGACAACTTAGCACTGGGCAAATCTGCTGCAAAAGATCAATTTTAAGTGATGAAGAACAAAGATGTCATGCTGAAGACTAAGGTGCACCTAACCCAACTCATTGTATTTTAATTAGTCTCATATAAATGTGAAACCTGGACAATGAATAAGGAAAACAGAAGAAGAGTTGATGCTTTTGAGATGTAGTGTTAGCAAAGAATAGTGAAAGTACCATTGGACTGCCAGAAGAACTAAGTGTGTCCTGGAAGAAGTGCAGCCAGAATGCTCCTTGGAAGCGAGAATGGCCAGACTTCGTCTCATCTACTTGGTCATGTTGTCAGAAGAGACCATTCCCTGGAGAAGGATATCATGCTTGGTAAAGTGGAGGGTAACTGAAAAATGGGAAGACCCTCAAGAAGATGAACTGACACAGTGGCTGAAACTATAGGCTCAAGTATAGCAAGGACTGTGAGGCTGGCTCAGGAACAGGCAGCGGTTCATTCTGTTGTACGTGGGGTCACTAAGAGTCAGAGCTGAATTGACACCACCCAACAACAACGACGTGAAGAAAATGTATACAATAAATAAATAAATATTAATCATTTTAAATAAAAACCAAAAGATTCAGACTACAGGACACTAAGAAGCTTTGGTCATTCTATGTTAGAGTTCTTGCTTTCCATGAAGGAGAACTGGGTGCCATTATCGGACAACACAACTCAAGTGCAGCCACGACCCACCTGCCAGTTTGTTGTACTTTGATGGTTACATGCAGGACAGGTGTCAGTGGGCCTGCAAAACTAAGACCGACTGGGAAGAAAGGCCTGATGTTCTACTTCAAAAAATCAGCCAATGGTAACTTTATGGATCACAAGGAACTATCATCTAATCTACAACTGCCCTGGGGACGATGCAGGACCAGGCATCATTTATTCCACTGTGCTTTGGGTCACCATGACATGGGGCCCGCTCAATGACAACTAATAAAAGCAAGAAACAACAACAATAAATTGAGTAAATTCCAACTTAAAGCAACCCACATTGGGTTTCCAAGGCTGTAAATCTTTAGAGAAGCAGATTGCTTCATCTTTCTTCTGTGGAGTTCCTGGTGAGTTTATACCACTAACTCTTTCGTTAGCAGTCAAATGCCTTAACAACTACACCACCAGAGTGCTTTAAAACAAAAAGAATAGAT